AAGAATATTTGTTGTTTTTTGTTAAATGGAATTGATCGCGTTTTAAAGGGAAAGCTTTAAAATGGAGTTATTGATCGCGTTTTAAAAGGGAAGCTTTAAAATGTTGGAACAGAACGCAAAACGTTCATTACAAGCGCTCTGTATGTGAGCCGTCTAAAAAATGATGATAATTCCTAGAACTGAGGGCAGTCAAAATATTCTCCAGTCAGTAACTTGGCTGCGACTTAAACGATATCGAGAGACACTGTAATTCTATAATTCAGGTTTTATCAAGAACTATTATACCCGGCAACTCATCCAACCCTGATTCCGCGATTGAGCTAAATCCAGGTATCAACAAATTTTCATGAGATCAGGGACCAAGTTTATAAAGATTTCGGGGCTAGGGATCAAAATTTACGGCCAAAATGTGGGATTAGTCGGGAAAAATATACCTCGTTATGACCCTGTAAACATGGTAAATGAGGTACTAGACACCGCAGTTTCTTAACCATTTTTCAGGCAATCACGTGATTATGATGGAGAGCCTCAGCAGCGCATATATCACTGCAATATCATTTCACCAATTTCAATAATAATATGTTTTTCTTCGCCTTTCGGTCCCTACCTGAGGCAGCCAACAGCAAGAAATAACTCCCAAATCAGTTGAACATAAATGCAAAGATTATATAAATGCCACTCCAGTAGTCTTGATAACACGGAAAAGTATAACTTCTGGCAAAGCAATGGTAGCACTGTGCGGCAGGTCCACCGTCATAAACGATAAGCATTTTTAAAACTATTTTTCAATGAATTACACCGAGTCTTGTTACTCATATTGTCACCACGCGCTAAGGAAAAACTGGGACAAATTGACGCACAGTACCGGTTTCTTGTGCCAGTAGACAAATCCACGAATTGCGCAAAAACGCACGCTACAATATACGCAAGGAAATAAGATGCAGTACTGTAGTTTAGAACACTAATTCGCAATGCACTAAAGAAGCGCGAAAAAATCCGGCGGAATTAACTTTCGCAAGGACTTCTGGGATCGCTTTTGGGACGAGCGCGTCGATCAGCTGTTGGCCCGTTTTTTTCTCTGTTAACGTAACAGTTCCAGAAGTCTTCAGTGGGGGAGTTAACTAGGTCCAGTTTCCATCTCACCTAAAGTGGCGAACTGCGTTGCCTTGCCTTTCCCCTACCCCTCCCCCGACCAGTTACAAAGACAGTTTTTCGATTTTTATAACATAGACAACATAGACTCATAAATGACACTAAATTTTCTTAAACAGTACTCAGTGCACTGGAGATGTTCTGTAACTCTCAGGTGTTTTTTTACCTTTACCAGGTCGTACTTGTGGTTGGTGACCACTTAACCTACGCCGCCAAAGACGAAAACGTAAAATGGTTCAAGTGTGCTGAAACAGTGAAAACATTGGACGTGAAAAACCTCTATAATATGCCTCAACTAATGCATGACTATTGTGATGCAAAGTTTAGCGATCAAGCCATCGTGGAAGAAATCAAGTCCGCTGACCTAGTTATTGGTGATGGCATGTACTTGTGCTCGGCTTTGATCGCAGATAAATTCTCCTTACCTCACGTGACAGTTTTGGAGAGCTCGCTTACTTCAGCCACGGGCACTATGCCATATAACGTGGCTGACCTCCCTTCATACCTGCCTCAGTTTGGGACGGGAATGACAGATAAGATGAACTTTTTACAGAGAGCTATGAACACCTTCTACTGGCTTAAATATCGTGCCATTTTCCCGCTCTACTTGAAAATAGCCTTCTTGGATCTTAAAGAAAAGCATAGCATTACGCCAGAAAAGAGCTTGGAGCAGACGATGCAGCGAGTGGACCTCGTTCTTGTCCAAACAGAAGCGTTTGATTATCCTCGGCCAATTGTACCAAGTAAGGGAAAGTGAGGCTTTGATGGATTGAGTTTGCATAATTTTTGGCCATATATATAGTTCGTCATTACGACGATACTTTTCATCTATTTTCCGAAAAAGCACTGCTAGCATAATTTGTACTTTTGGCTAGTTTTACAGGACTTAAGTGTCGTTAATTAATCATATAACCGAATTGTTGCCCTTAGATAAAGTAACAAAATCAATATTTTTGTCTGCTTATTGTCACATTCATGGAACCTGGGTCCCACAGGACAAAGCCTCGACCTCAAGCGCCACTATTGCGCGGTTGTCAAACGTGGATGCCACGAGCTGACGCTTTTCGCGTAAGAGCAAGGATACGAAGGACTCCTGGGAATGAGGTGGGGAAGAAGGCAGATCACTTCTCCAGGCTATTAAATTAGCGCTTAAGTTCAAATGACTGAGCTTAGAAGAGAGGAGATTCACAGTGCGATCTGATTGTCTATCAACTCTTCACTAAATGGCAGCACATGTGAATCAGACGTCACAATACTACTGTAAAAGACAAATGTAAGACCTTCGAAAACGTCTGCGGGGGACTTAGAAATAAAAAACACGACACAATGGTTGATCGTAAGGACTCCGCACGATCCTTCGAGATCGATCGTGGTTAGGTTTCTCGATCTTGCTTCCTGTAGACGGTTTACTATGAAGAAGAGGTGATCGATCCGATTCAGTTCCTTTGTATTGTATTGTTTCACCTTGTACATCAAAAGGGTAGACAAGTTAGCTTTTTTTTTCTTTTCAGATGTAAAATCAGTTGGTCCACTTTTAGCTAGTCCTGCTAAACCACTTCCGGATGACCTAGAAGAGTTTGTGAAAGGGGCTGGGGACAAGGGAGTAATACTTGTGTCCTTTGGTTCTATTCTTGGTGATATAGACGACGCGTCAGTAAAAGCAATGGCTGCTGTGTTCTCTAGCGTGCCCCAGAGAGTGATTTGGAAAATCAACACAGGTACTCAAGATTAAATTGCACTGATGTATTTGATCGGAGAGGAAAATGTTGCTGTTATTTTCTCAAAACTGATTGGCTTTTTCCTTGTAAAACAGTGGCATTCCAGCAATGTTTCTCTTTTTCACTGCTCTGACTGGTCTCAAGTCGTCTCTCAGTCTCAGTCTCAAAGACAGAGGTGCGATCAAGGGGAATGCGATGGGTGTTGGGAAGGCGTTTTCCTCTTTTCCATCACCCCCAGCGCTCCCTTCAGACACGCTTCTAGCGTTCCGTCCTCCTCGTACAATCCAAATAGAGAGGACTGGGGACGAGTCTGTTCACGGTTTTGTAATTTTCACCGTAAACTGAAAAGGAAAGTTCTCTTATAGATAGATAGAAATATATATATATATATTCTAATTTTCTTCTTAAAAGACAGGAGAATTTCCATAATAACCGTTCAGCCTTAGAACTGATAAATATTCCCGGTCCCCAGGCGATCATTCGAACGTAATATTTGCGTTCCCTCTGGTTTTTTTATCTTCTAGTTCCAGGGTCATACTCCCGATTTACATACTCTTTAGATTTGGCAAACGATTTCCAAGCAAAAAAAAACAAACCTCTTAAGTTTCTTACTTCCCGCCATTTTTCGTGAATGGGCTCCTGACGCATGTCAACGTAAAGTTTCTCCTGCCTGATGGACGTTTGGATAAATGATAATTTTTCTGGACCAAAACCTTTTATTTCTATGACCTATGCGACTACACGGAAACCGTTACACCCCTCCTCTGATTAGACTCCTTGCAAGTTTGGATAGGGTCACACGTGTAAGAGCTCATACATGATTCTGTTAAAAATACAACCTTCTCTGTAAATGTCTTCTAATTTAGTGCAATATTCGTTTCTTTTTTTTTGACAATTTTATAACAGAGGGTAAAGATTTAAAACTAAAAAGCAACGTCAAAGCATCTCCCTGGCTTCCACAGAACGACATTCTGGGCCATCCCAACACCCGCTTGTTCATTGGTCACGCTGGAATGAATGGAATGATGGAAGCAGGTTACCATGGAGTCCCTATGATCTGTGTGCCATTCTTTGGAGATCAGTTTGATAACGCTGTAGCTGCAAAACATCTTGGGTTAGCAGAGATCGTGTACAAAGAGTCCATAACTGAGGAGAATCTTGCCAAAGCTATAAACACCGTTCTAAACAACTCCAGGTCAGTGAACTCAAATACAGATACATAAAAAGGCTTGCTGTCCATAAGTAACAAAAATTACACGTTGTTATCTCCTTGAGTCAGCAATCCCTGGTTTTGTGACCACGTGACAAGGTGGTCCTGTTGGTATCTAAAACGGAATGAACAAACGTGATGAATCAGTATAATCATAATGTAATCTTTATCTTTTTTTCGGTTTATTTTTCTTAGCAGCCACACCTTACCGCGTCATACCATGTAACTTCCGTTTATTATGTTACAGTAGTATATATTCTGTACATTCGTGGTTTTTCCTAATAAACCTGATGAAGACTGGTGTTGGCCAGTCGACTTAGCATACCTCAGCCTTTTTCACGTTGGTTGATCAGTCTTTGCAGTAGTCTTTTTGACTTTAATTCTATGAAAATGGAGTTTTGTTCCCAGAAGATAGAAATGTTTTTGTTCGTGATCACCAACATGGCTGCCGTGATGTCACGTGCAAACAGACGAATCAGACTGAGGAACAGTTCAAAGCAGACTGAAATATATGCTTGAGAACCCGATGTCCATAAGGGCCCCAAGTCTTCGGTAACAATTGAAATGTTGAAATTAATACAGTTTTTCTTAATCAACAAAGAACAGCAAAAAAACACTCGCCCAATATAATCGGTAATTGGTTGAGACCGCAGTTTAGCTTAGTTAGCATTTTTAGAATGAGTTTGGTCTAACGGGGTGACGCTAATTTTTAATAAACTGAGAACTGGCTGTCTCTCTCTTGTGTCATGTACGGTAACTAAAAGTCATTTCGTTTTGGGCAACATACCCAATGATCAATCTTTAATATTAATATATACATAATTTCCTTCCAATTTTATAGTTACCGACAGTCTGCCGGTCGAATTTCCAAGATGATAAGACATCACCCTCGCACTCCAGTACAACAAGCCGCGGATTGGATCGAGTACACGCAAGCCATGGGCGGCTTACCACACCTCAGACCCCGAGGACTGGACTTGCCGTTTTATCAGCTTTACCTTTTGGATGTCATTTTGATTGCAAGTGCTCTTTTAGTGGGAGCTTTCGTAGCATTTTATTTCTTAATTAAATGTCTTTGTCGAATATGCTTTAAGAGCAAGCCAAGCAAAGAAAAGCGTAATTAGGATTGGTACATGAAGAAAAATGGTTCATATAAACGCTAATGAAGCCCCCGTCCACACATACACAAATCCGGACAAATTTGAAAGCGCATCCAAAGTGTAGGGATTCAAAAATGCCAACTAGGTAAGATGGACGGCAGAGATGGACTGTGCGTAAACGCTGGCTTTAAAGGAGCAATGTCACGCTGTTTTTAGTTAAAACGTTTTTAGAATCAATTGAATTCCAATGATAATGGTCCAGTTTTGCTTTTTAAGGCTTTATTTTGGAACTGTTTCCTGTCTTATGTTGAAACGGATGGCAAGGACTTGGATTGAAACTTGAAAAATTTGGCCCAACTTTCTCATAGTTTTAATGTAATACCGGCAATATGCCGTGCTCCCTGACACGATTTCATTGACATTGTCTTTATAACTATTCAGGAGTATTTTGCGGAAGGGTGAAGGCACTACGTTATGGTAATTTCAGCACAGAATTGACCTAAAACAGCAATATCCTCGTGACATAACTCCTTTTTTAATGGCCATATGATATGAACATGCGCCATTCATCCAGACCAAGGAAGCGTTTCGTTCTTAAATTGATCCTCAGTAGATTAGTTGGCGTTAGTGTGGATGGTGAAATTCATTATCAAAAGTGTTACTTACGTATACGAGTGTGAACAAAACAAGCTAACAAATATATTCTTATATTCTTATATTATTATATATTAATCCAAGAGCACGATATGGAAGGTAAGATAATACCATTATTAAGAACGTTATGATTACCATTATTTTTACCTTAATTTATTACTGTTAATTCATGATCACGCCGAGGAAAAGAGCATAATAAAGATTGTCGCCATTTTTCTTTACATGCCTGGTTATGCATTCTACTGCGTTTTAAAGTTGGCTTCGTTCCATGACCTATTTACTTTGCAGCCAGTATAATGCGAATTTGGGGGCTTATCTGCAAAATCACAACAAAAATTTACAAAAACCATTTTCTTCAACGATAAAAATGGCGAGTGCAAATCAACTGAGGTTGCGCCCATGTAAGTGTTTGGAAACTTTGCTGAACTTGTTGTTGGTTATGCCTTCGACGCTCTTACTTTTCTTCCCGTCCTATACCTTCAAAATCTCACGCTACTTTCGACTTGTGTTTTTGCGAAATATTCAGTATTACTTCCCGTTACAGGAAAATCTTGGTTGCAGACACCCGATTAGATTAGATTGGAGTCCCAGAACCACAGCCTTTATTGGTAGTATGGAATACCCTTCCTCCTAATCCCCTGATGGGAGGAAAAGCCCCCCTCCCCCCTCCACCAATCCCCCGGTGGGAGGAAAAGCCATATCATCAAGGTACGTTGTAGAATAGCGATTTGAAAAGCTCACGCCCATGATATGCAGTACCTATCTTTTTATTATTAACTTATTTAACTGAAAGTGAAAAAACCTCTGGCTCTTAGAGTATTCTCCTAACGGGTGACATTCGATGGCGAGCTGTAAACGTTTCCAAACTCTTTGACGTAGTTTCTTGTTTACTGTGTTATGTGATACAGTAAACACTTTATCTCAGTTAAAGGGGCTCAGAAGGCCAAACATGGGTTATTTTGTTCCTTCTTAAGTTGTGGCGTCTGCAGCATGTGGTAGCGCGGATATTTTTTAGCTCAATTCCCATAAGTTTCTTTATTAGATTAGTTAGCCGGTGAACGATCTAAATGAAGCCCTATCTCAAAGAAATGCCTCTTGTCTAATAAACGCCCTCCAACGCCCCTGTGATGTTAAGTTTGTACTAGACGCCCCAAAATAAAAGAAAAAGGCAAAGCAAAATCATTTAATTTATTAAGTTTCATGGTTGATAAAAAGAGGTTTACGCATGGCATCACTTTCAATGTCAAGTTCAAAGCAACGATTGGCTAGCGATGACAACGAAATGTACCTGAACGAGGATTCTTTCATCGAGTTAGGATTAAAAAGAGCTAAATGGATCTCTAGTCGACCTAGACGTAACAGTGGATGGAATGAATATTCTGCTATTTGTAAACTCTATTGGCACTTTCTCAGAAAACATATAAATTTTGTTGAACTTGTTACAGTTATGAGAATACACGCCTCCCCCTTGCTTAAGTGGAGTAGGTACCAGAGGTTTTCTCGAGCGTGCGACGAGGAGCTTCGTAGGCCGCAGGCAGGCCGACTGGCCGAAGACACGAGCGACGAAGCCGTATAACCGAAACCGGAAACCGCGCATGAAAAGCCTCTGGCACCCAGGGTATACGTAAAACGGATTTTAAAAGAAAGAATTAGAAAACATCTATTG